CCAGGCTCACACTACCACATTTGGTGGACTTGTATTGAAGCTAAAAGATATTGGACTAAAATTCACATGTGGCTGGAGAAAATGATACATAAATACGTAGACTTAAAACCAGAACTTTTTCTATTGGGAATCATACCAGAAACATACAATAAAGACTTGAAAGATTTGATTGTAAATGTTTTAACAGCTGCTAGAATTGTATTTGCAAAAAATTGGAAAAATGAGAAAAACAGGAGGAAACTATTCGGAAGATAATGGAATGTGCCAAAATGAGTAGACTTACATTTGAAATTAGAGAACAGGAGGATGAGCAATTTTATAAGGTATGGGATTTGTTTTACCGATGGTTGGATAAAAAAACCTGGAAATGAAATTGCTTATTAATGTACTACCAGAAAGTTATAGTCATTGTTATGAAAGTATTTTTTGCTATGAAATAGAGTGTTTGATCAAATGATATATAAAGGACAATAATGCATTCAATGTATAAGAGTGGGATGATTTGAATCCTATGTAAAATTGTATTAACTATGTTATACTGGAAAGAGTTTTGTTAAATGGACTAATGATGTTTTGTTAAATGGACTAATGATGATGTAATGAATAATTGATACATATATGAATTTAAATGTTCAATAACTACTTGGATTAGCAATGGGAAACTATTTCTGGGGTTGAATATGCCACGCTATAAATATTGTATACTCTATGGATGATTAATATTAGTGGTAACTTGAAAACATAATGCTCAATGATAATGATGTATTTAGTTATGCTTAATGGATAACCAGTGATCTTATTTTTAATTGTAAAAACTGATGCACAAAAGTTTGTAACCAAGCGACATGCTTGACGAAACTGAGGAAAGTTTTTTGTATGTGTTCTTTTGTTTTTGTTGGTTTTAAAAATAAAAAATAAATAAAAAAGAAACCATCCCTTAGTCTTATGAAAAGCATACTGAAACATATCCTGCTGTCTTGACTGACTGATTGACTGATTGAAAAGTTAAAGGTTCCCCTGCACATGCGTGCTAGTCGTTTCCGGCTCTAGGGGTAGTGCTCATCTCTGTTTCTAAGCCGAAGAACCGGCACTGGCCAAAGACATCTCCAGGTCATGTGGCTGGCATCTCTAAATGCCAAAGGGACAAAGAGCGCTGTTACCTTTCCACCAAAATGGTCCCTATTTTTCTACTTGCATATTTATGTGCTTTTGAACTGCTAGGTTGGCAGAAGCTGGGACAAGTAATGGGAGGTCTCCCCGTTACACGGCGCTAGGCATTCGAACTGCTGAATTCCCGACCTTCTGATCGACAAGCTCAGTATCTCAGCCACCAAGCCACGCCTCCCTTGATTGACTGTAAACACAGTTAATATTGTAAATGATGTACCTACGGATTTATATGATACTATAGTTACTTTAAATGTATCTGGATATACTTTTCAAATCACTGATGCTTCCAGTTACTCAGAAAAATAGTATCACCACCATCTTCTAATATTATCACATACTTGGTGGACCTGTCACATACGTGTTGGATCTAAGATAGGATCCAGGTTCAAATTTCAAGAGACGGAACTTCATTTAAAACACCCAAAAGACCATCTGGAATGTACAGGGTATTTCAGAATTGATCAATGGTGAACACTACTTTATTAAGCATTTCTAAATAAAGATCAAAATTCCATTAACTGCAGATTCTTTAAATTAGCAGACGATTGGACTACATTTTTGAGGCCCATTTATATTTCTATGACCTGAATCTTCTGCTAATTTTTATTTCTGTTACCTTATGTATTGTTTTAATCTGTATGTTTGATTATTTTATATTTGAGCACTTTTTCTAAAAAAATATAGCCAATGCGTTTTGATTAAATGCTTTAAAATAAGCCACTTAGTCTTTAATGTAGGTAGAGTAAAGGATGACTGAATTTCATTGAGGAAATAAGGAAGGCATTGCATTGCTAATGGTAGAAATTTTATGATTGAAGGAATGGACACCAGCAACACAGTAAGAAGTACTGTTTTGATTTGATTTGCACTATTACTACTTATTAATATTTTTTATTTGAGTATGCAAGGACATAGGTTGGAAGCAATCAATGTTTTGATTCCAAATTTCTTGTGAAGCCATTTTGGTATTCTTGAGAACTCCACTTTTAAGATTTCTAGCCAAAGTATCAATTTCTCCAACAGCAACTCCAATCAGTGTCATACAAGATGGTGGGGACTTGATGCTCTGTTAGCTTTGTTGTTTTCTTGCAGACGTTTCATTAGCAAACTAGTTAACATAATCAGTGCTAATAGGAAGTGAAGTTAGCTCTCATTCTATAATCTAATGGCTTTTCCAATTAGTGTTGGTGGGAGTGGTCTTGGTGGTTCCTTGATTGAAATGTTTACTGTTGCTTACTTTACTTGTTTGGGGTATTGTCTGCTTCTTGATTGTTGGGTCTAATGTTAATCTGGTGTTAATCTATGCTCATCTGGGTATTGATTGCTGGTGAGGATGTGTTTTGGTCTTTCTGTTTCCTTTTTGGCTGCCTCTTGAATGGCATGTAGATGTTGTTTATGTCAATATGCTAGTTGATTGCAAATCTGTCTGAATTCCAGGTTTCCAGGAATTCTCAATGGTTCTAGACTTGGCTTGGTCTAAAATGCTCATAGATCCCCAGTTAAACCTATGGTTTATTGTGAAATTAATTTTCATCATGTCTTCTGACTGCTTAGTTGATGTTCATGGATGTGTTCTGCCAATCTTCTGCAGAGACATGGGAAGTTTCATGGAGTTTCATTTTAAAAAAGGCTGTGTATTTGTGCAGCATCAGCCAGTGAAGACATTTGGACACATTTTTTTTTATGGCTGCAAATTGTACTCTGCAGAAAGGGCTGGTTCCTTAGATTCTTAGGAGCCATAATGGTGGAGTGGTTAAAATGCAGTATTGCAGGCTAACTCTGCTCACTGCCAGGAGTTCAATCCTGATTGGCTCAAGCCTTCCTTGACTCAGTCTTCCAAGGCCAGTAAAATGAGGACCCAGATTGTTGGGGGGGGGTGTATTCTGACTCTAAACTGCTTAGAGACTGCTATAAAGCATTACGGAATGGTATATGTAACACTAGAAATTCAAGTTTGTCCAAGTGCTATTGCTATTTAAAAACTAAAAAAAAATGCAGAGGCAGCCAGGAGAAACGGTCTTACCTCATGCAGGGAATGAACCTGCATATCATTAGTAAGATGTACACTTTATTTCAAAAGCCACTTCAAAGAGGACAGAATTAGATCAGTTTGGGGTTAACTGCAGGGGTGGCAACTTACTATGAACATGTCCTATTGTTTTCTCTGTATCTACTTGTATATTTGTATTAGTTTTATTGATTTAGTCATTTGATATGGTCAAATGAGTAAATCAATACAGATTGTATTGTATTGTATTCTGTTTTGTTCTATTCTGTTCCCTTTAAGACAAATAAGGATTTGCACAGATTTGCTGAAATATCTCTGTGATTAAATCCTCTATCACCAGCTACCTGAACATCAGAAGCAGCCTGCTTTGTGAAATGCAGGAGGATTTTAGCAGTCTGCACACACACACAGTGCTCTGGAGAAATAGGCTATTTTTATTCTGAAAGATTAAGATACTATTGGTATCTCTGACTCAAGTTAGTAGAAGCCTAGGAGTAAAAATAATGCCAGGGAACACTAAAAAATCAAGTTTGTTCCATCCTGGGAGAATAGATTCATTTACCTGTGTAGCGCAAAGTATATTTTAAGAAAATTCACCTCTCATTGCCAAGACAGATTTGAAATATCCAGGTAGGTTTTCCGGATGGCTTATGCAAGGGCTATGCCCACTGTTCTAACTCACACTATATACATTTCTTATTCAAAACATTCTTCAGACGTTTTAAGCAATGTTGGGGCACAAGGGAATCACCTACATTTTTTTTGTGGTTTAGGATTGTTTTCTGACCTCAGGAAATACACATACGCACAAATATAGTCACAAATTGAGAACTGGTTTTTCTAAGCAATAAAAATTGTTCTGTGCCTAAAGTATGGCAAAATTTGGATGGTAATCCACATAAGGGGTGGACCATCAGCTCACTGACAGAATGCACACCAGGCCTCAGACTGTCTGCCCAAGGAAGGGCTGCAAAAGGTGAGTTTCACACGTAGTCCACTCTTGTTTGCATTTGTGGGATGAATCAAAATGAGTAGTTACTAGTTGGCGGCCCATCAGATCTTGTATGAACCAAAGTCCCCAAAACAGATTTTGTTGTTTGGTGGTATAAACGGTATTGTTGTGGGATATAAGATGTTCCAAGTAATTGCAATTGACTGCAATTAAGATGTTCCAGATGTTCAGACTGGATTGGGCATTTTAATCTATCTATCGAGTCCTTCCCAAGAACCTGGGATAGGCAGATGTGGATGTTTGATAGTGTTACAGATATCATCACATGATGTAAACTGTTCTAAGTAAAGTTGCCTTTTGCAATTGACTGATGGTGAATTTGACAATGCTGATGGTGCTCAAATTGGTTTGAGTTTGTACTCAATGGATTTATTACTATTGGTATTATTAGTATCATCATCATCATCATGTGATAATTCTACCATTGGAAAACCTGAAGGACTAGATTAAAGACAGATAATCATGGAGAAAATCTAAATGGTCACTAAGAATCAACATCAAACCTGATAACATATAATTGCTCAATCAGGATTAAAATATCTAAAGTTATTATCTCGCTTCTATTTCCCTTATAATCTTATAATATTCAGTAATATTCTTTATTATGTTGGTTTTTATTGTAAATGTTTCTTCATACATTATTTGTTAAAATGCAAAATATTTTAAAGTAAAGGATAATTCTGCTCAAAATTTAAATTTCTCAAATAATGTTCAGTTGGGAAAAGTCACTTTAAATGGCAAATAACCGCAACATTGAAATAACAGTAAATTTAATATTTCATGGAATAAAGCGCTAACGTTTTTTAAAAATGTTATTACACTTTGAAAAGCAAATATAATGTTAAAATATGCATGAGATAAAACCCTATGCAAGTGTCAATGGTCATACAATTTACAGCACTTCCACAGGCTGCTTTTGTTCAACCCGTCTGGAACAATATTACTATGAGAAATCCCCTTTAATCCATCTACCAGCCTTTGAGGTACTGATGTGCAAGAAAATACTCTTGCATTTTTAAAAGTCTCAGTAGGCATTAATGTCCTAAGAGAATTTGATTTTGAAAATACTTTCAAAACCCCTTTCTTTCTGGGGAAGCATGGAGTCTGAAGAAGTCAAGTCTGGAGGAAGGAAGGGCCACACTTAGTCATCTATGAACTGGATAAACCTATGTATGAATATTTTGTCTTTCATTATATACTTTATATATAAAGTATATTTATAAGGTAAAGGTTCCCCTCGACATATGTGCTAGTCGTTCCTGACTCTAGGGGGTGGTGCTCATCTCCATCTCAAAGCCGAAGAGCCAGCGGTATCTGAAGACGTCTCCGTGGTCATGTGGCGGGCATGACTAAATGCCGAAGGTGCACAGAGCGCTGTTACCTTCCCACCAAAGGTGGTTCCTATTTTTCTACTTGCATTTTTACATACTTTCGAACTGGTAGGTTGGCAAAAGCTGGAACAAATAACGGGAGCTCACTCTGTTACATGGTGCTAGGGATTTGAACTACCAAACTTTCTGATCAACAAGTTCAATGTCTTAGCTGCTGAGCCACCCGTCCTGTATGTATGTATGTATGTATGTATGTATGTATGTATGTATATTTATAGATGACATTATATGTCCTCAGAAGCTGCATCCATCCTGATTTCCTCTGCTTCCATTTACATTACATTTCAAGGAAAAACATCCCTACTTTTTTATTCTTTCCCTCCCTTTTCTTTTAAACGGAGGAATTGTCAGCATCAAAGGAAGTCTTTGAGTAATGGAAAGTTATAGAGCAGGTAACAACAACATAACAGCAGATTCGCTGCGACCTCCAGCAACAAAGAATCCTCCTTGCCCAATATTAAGGAGTCCAAAACTCCTAAAATGCATGTAACTTGTGTTGTCTAAATATGTAGATGGAGAAGTTGAGAAACACACAAACACACACACAGGAGAGAACAGATTGCAGCTGAAACTGTTGAGCTTATTCTAATTAGTAATGAGCTATTTCTAATAACCTGCTTAGCTGGCAGTGTTATAGATAGATTTTGGGAGGGGATCTTCTACAAATGTGGTTAGTGGTTAGGGCACCAGGCGATGCTGAGTTCTAATCCCATCTTTGGTTGTCGTGGGGAAAATTGGAGGAGGAAGGAGTACTAGATATATCTGCAGGCTTGAGTTACTTATAAAAAAAATAATAAAAGTGGGATAAAAATAAATAAATAATAAATGTTACTGCAGGGATGATTGAAGGAGGGAACAGGAGACAAAAACGCCATATAATAGAAGTTGCATGATGAGAATGCAAAAGCATTCACAAATCTTTTTTAGACCAAGCTACATGCTTACATTAAATGTGCAACTAATAAGCCCCCAAATGATAGGGGATAGTTTCTCCTTGTAATCTGCATTAGAATTGTACTGATTTAGAATAGCAGAGTTGTCAATTTCCTTAATATCACACAGGATTATATTCCAGTTTTTCGGTCAACTGCTACCTCCCTTGAGTCATTGTCACTTAAAAATTGTGCAGCCAACCCTGTTACCAGCTTTCTAAGCTAAAAAAAGACAAGATTTCACTCAAGTGAAGGAGGAACAGAAGAAAATCATTTCTTCAAATCTAGAAGGGAATGGTAAATCATAAAGTAGCCCTTTACACAAACTTCCTAGGGCAGATTTTTCTTTGTTCGTATGATTGTTTGGCAACTGGGATTCTTGTCATTGTTTTTTAACAGCATTTCTTGACCCTGGCCACTTGAAGATGTGTGGACTACAATTCTCAGAGCACCCCAATCATAATGGGCAATTGCTAGAGGGGGAATTATGGGAATTGAAGTCCGCACATCTTTAAGTGGCCAAGGTTGAGAAATACTGTTTTATAGGATGGGAAGGCCTAGTCCTGCATCTGCTCTTTTTCTGGCCTAGTGGTAGATATATCAGGTGGCCTCTCTGGGCTCTGAGATTCTTCCTAGAAGGTAGGATTTAACCTTGGTCTTCTGATCATCAGAAACCAATGCTTAATTGTTCCCTACTCTAAAACAGTTGAACATTTTGAGAGGGAGAGGAGATGCTACTAATACGTTGGGTAGACAAAGGAAGGAGGAACCTCACAGGGTCTATAGTCCAGGGCAATCTATGGGCAGTTAATAAGTCGAACATATTTTTATCCCAGATTTCCAGAATTGAAACACAAAAATAAATTTGTTAATGTTTTATGGAAGATGTACTTTTAAGCTCAGAATAGTATTTGTCATTTTTGGAGAAACTTTTGGTCTAGTTCCTAGTATGCAGACATCCACCCACATGTAAAAAAATTAATATACAAGCCCATTATGCTGTTTAGAATTGGTTGTATAGAGAAACGTCCTTTGCCATTCTCTTAGAACAAATATGAGTAATACGATGGGAACAGCCAAGCAATAAAGAGACTTTGGCATTGTTTTAGCCTCAAAGTCTCTACAAATACTTTCCTACCCTTCATGCAACACATTCAATCCTGATTTTACTTTAAGTCCATTCAGTTCACCATAGACAATACAAAATCACAACTCCACATGAACAAATGGCACTTTTTATGTAGGTAGTTTCAAAGCTGCTTTATCCCTAAGTCACGCTTAAATGATAATTCATGCTGTAAAAATGCTATTTTTTAAACAAAAAATCCATTATTTAAAATCAAAAGTATATTCATTGACATCTATTTTAAATTTTATTACTTATTATTTATTCACTTTATTTGTATCACATTCTGTCCCAAGCTATCAATCTCATCATAAAATGATCCATAAACAAAAGAGGGGAAAAAAGAAATGCATTAAAACAGGCAGAATAATAAGCAAACAAAATCCTTTGGAATCAAATCAACCCTCTATTGAATTATTTGTGTACTGACTCTATTAATAACTAAAATAAAAGCTGCTTACTGTATTTATTTGTTTTCTGCATTGATGGAACAATACATAATAATAAAAACAAGCATGGCTTGGCAGAAAGTCACTCAGCCATACATCTGTATATTTTTTAAAAACAAATTTAGGATTACAGCATTTTTGGATTTAAACCTTTGCACTTCAAATAGCCAACTAAGAGATGTTAACCTGACTAATGAAAAACAATGGAGTAACTGAACATACAAGGGCCTGATGCTCCTACCCAAAGGTTCTTTAAGCAAAATACTGTGATGTTCAATTTCAGCTAATTCCTTAATGAACCCTTTGCAAGATCAAGGCTTGAGAGCATAAGATTTTGTAGAGATTAGCTACAAACAGGAAAAACTGCCCACTTTTGTCTTTATTAGGAAAGCATTTGGACAATCTATACCAGGGGTGTCAAACTCACAGACCAGATGTGTGACACGCGGGCCACGCCCACTCCTGGTTTAGCGAAGGGGGGAAAAGTCCTGATACATCATGTGACTACGATGTGACGCGAGTTTGACACCCCTGATCTACACAATATATCTCCTTTTAGGAATGGATTCATTTTTAAATAAAAAATAAAAATAAACAGAGACATCCCCCCCCAAGTCATAATATTAAAAATATGTGTCCTTCTTTGCTCACCTTTAAGACCCCAATCTACTTGCAATCTCTTGCAAGTAAGCAATGCTCCTCCAATTACAGATGATTTGCTAATCTTCGTAGTTGCAAAACATTGATTTCTTTCCCCACCCATTTCTAGCCACAGCCAGCCTCCCTTGCTCACATATCCCACTAATGCAATCAAAGGCAAATTTTCAGTCCAAGCAAACGTCTTCCTGAAGTCAGAAGTTGATCATAATGAATATACGCTGCTGTCTAAAGCTGCCATTAGCATAATAATATCTCGCGGCATACTCACGTCGGCTTTCATACATGCTCCTGGACTGGGCCCAGATTTTGAATGGATCTGGCTTCTTCTGCCCTGCGTTGTCCGGCTGGTCTGTCGCTGGTGTTTCAGGAACAGGGTATTCGGGAAGCACCTGAGTGCTGTGAATCGGAGAAGCCGTGTGGGTGCTGTGGTGGCTGGATACGCTGTGCTGGGAGCTGTTTTGGCTGTCTTTCCGTTCAAGTGGTTGCTGTCCAGGAAGAGTGCCAGAAAAGAAGGAAGAGTAGGGATGGGATGGGGAATCCCGAGAAGGTTAATGATCTGCAAGCAAGCAATTTCCCTTAGCCTCCCCCAGCCCACCCCTAGCTTCAGCACTTCTGCAAGTTCCTAAACAAATATATAAGGGCACTTTGGGGCTTTGGCGATTTCCATTTTTTGCTGAGCGCAGGAAAATTCACCCAATGATAGATAAGACAGAATGACGGAGGAAGAGAAAGTCATCCATCACAAACCACACCGGCATCCCTCCGATACGACACAGACACATCCCCAATCAAGGATTCTATATGGATTAGGGACTCAAAAGAGTCGTCTTCTGCTGAGGACAGCATTTCAAATCCAGGAATAGGAACAAGGAATGGATCCTATCAGATAGATTCAAACAGTTTCTCTTTGGTACGTACAATGAGTCAGAGTGACTCTTTTTCATTCCCCCCTAGATGCTATACACAGCACAAGCCGACACACAAAGTTTCTTTTGCCATCATAACAAAGTTGAGGCTTGTACTCAAACATAGTTTTTTTTTCCTCAGATAAGAAAAACGGCTACCAGAAATTAAATCTGAAAGATGCAATATTTATTGTTTTGGATTCTTAATCTGCTTTTCTGCAGGAAAACTTGTCTACCTTACTTTTAATAAACCCCTGAACAGAATCAACACATATAAGAGACAGAATCAGGCACAACAGTCCAATGTTCCCCTCGAAGGTTAGATATCTAAAATCAAAGTTGCTTTGAATTCTTACAATGGTACAAAAGCAGAATTCTTTACCAACTGATATCCATTAGTCTCTAGTACGAAATGTAAAGGGTCGTATACTGAATTCTCTTTCAATTCTGATATCTTACAATAGATTGTTAAACATGGGACAAAAAAAAAATCCAGTGCGGGAATTAGATTGGCATCTATAATTTATTACAACGTTTAGGTTCAGTGAAATGAAATTTACAGAAGAGATTCTCATTCTATATAAATGATAATGCCAAAACAATATGAGCATAAATGACATCAACTTCAGGGGAACAAAGCAGTGTGTGCAACTATGCGGATTCTATTTATCTCCCATACATCAGCAGCCATGACAGCTCAAAATCAATATACATTATAATAACCCAGGCCTGGAATAATGTTCTGTTTCTACTGTATGTAAGAATATTCCGACGCATCACAAATATGAAACAAATCTCAAAATAATGCTTGAAACCAAATCAAACCAAATGTCCAAACTCTGAAAATCATTATCCTCTTATTTGAAGTATCTCTGATAGCTAGAATATTTGGATTATTTTCTACGTCATGTTGCTTGTGGTATCGAAAGCATGTTGTTGAGTAAGGACACTTTCTTTAAGTCCAATACATTTGGGCAACACAAATAACAATAAAAGAGATAAGACAATGGTTTTCAAAGGAGCTTGTCTGCTCATGCTAATCTTTTCACTGAAAGTACCAGAGAACTCCAAATGACAGTCTAGAAACACTGAATTAATCTATCAATGCCAATTATTTTCATATGCTTCAAAGCACAATTTTATAACATCATCACTAACATGAAATATAAAGGAAAACAGACAGAACAACTAAATTGTAGCTCTTACATCTTAGTACAAAAATATCTTTAAAAAGCCAAACCACATTGAAACAACATGACTATGTTGAAAAATATCTCTTTTAGCATGCTTCTTTGATGGAAAAACTGCAATGGTATCTTCCACTTAATCCCATCTATATCAACTTCAGCCTTCTAGTGGAAGCTGTAGCCAGATAGTCTTTCTCCCTACTATCTCTTTCCCCCAAAATCTGACTTATGACACCCCGTTGTAGACAAACCTGATTGGCTGCTTGTTTTTCTCAACTGATTGACAGCAAGAAAATACTGTTAGAGTTCCAAACTGTTACATCTCTAAGGTAGAATTTCTACCGCAGTGTGTGTCCTTGCTGATTAGGATCATGATTCCAACTGAGGAAGAGACTATAATACAATTATGAAAAATTATGCCAGCGAGAACCTGCCAAAAAGAATAGGGAATGTGAGCAAGCAGGAGAAAATGTAATTATGGAGTTGGATACTACAATCTGGAGCTACCTAAGCTCACTTCATTATCAGAAATATTCAGTGCTCCAAAAAGCTTTGTCTGAAATATGTAGCGTATTTAAAAGAAAAGTTTTAGAAGCACTTTTCAATAGCATTTCATAAATAGTGTATTCATTGATTATTGTAACAGCATTTTTATATCACTGACATCCCTGGCAGTTGATTTAAAAAAAAAACCTAATATAAACCCATAGAAACAATGCTAAAAAAGACATAATCCCCACATCAAAACAGTGACATCTATTACTACAGATAGTTGTGATTTATGACCATGACGGGGACTATTATTTCTGTGGCTAAGCCAAGGCAGTTGTTAAATGAGTCACAACCAATTTTTCAACCTTTTTAAAAACACGCTTGTTAGGTAAATCACTGCAGTTAAATGAATCATGTAGTCATTCAGTGAATCATGCAGTCATTAAGTGAATCCAGCTTCCCTCCATTGATTGTTGCTTGCCAGTACTTGGTTGGGAATGGTAATCACATGGCCCTGGCATGGTGCAACCATCATAAATATATGCCAGTTTCCAGTTGTCCAATTTTGAGCACAAGACAATGGGGATGCTGCAACAGTCATTCAGTGGGAAGTCTGGACATGTCACTTTTTTCAGTGCCTTTATAACTTCGAACTCTCCGTAAACAAATGGTTGTAAGATAAGGACTACCTGCACTCAACTTTTATCCATTCATTTTCTTAAAAGCTACCTGATTTGAAGGATTCCGTGTCGCCTACCATACACCAGACAAAATAGAAATAATATGATAGGAAACAACAGCAAGCAAACTAGAATCGAAGGGGGGAAGAGAATAAGATGGCAAATGCAGCAGATATCCCAAAACATCCCGCTGCAAAGGCTTGCAGTGTTCACCACTCTCTGAATGACTGTTAAGGAGGCTCCATTTAGCTCCTCAGCAGTACATTATTCTAGGGGGGAATGGGCCAACTCGCTGCAGCCAACTCATCATGGCCAACATGCTGCAGGACAACTTGGCCAACTTGCCGTGGGACAATTTAACAATTCTATTTGATTATTTAAAATAAATAAAAATTATTTTATTTTTTGCCATTCACATTTCATTCTGTCCCTCCTTTTGCATCCTTTTTAAAATGATTCTATCCCACCATTTCTTTGATATTAGTGTGATACTTATCCCACAGTGAGTTGTCCCATGGTGAGTTGGCCGTGGCAAGTTGGCCATGACGAGTTGGCCAAATTGTCGTAGACCTACATAAGAAGCAGGATACTCATGCCCCCTCCTTAGAACTCTTAGCATCCCAATTTGGGATGAACACACTGGATGAGTCAGATCTATCTGAAGATACCTATCCTACAGGTATTCTGCAGATACCTATGGCTTATAGGTTAAAGCAAGCACTCAAAATTGTACTCAGAAGCCTACTGGAAGGAAACACAGCACTTTCAAAAGCAAAGTTAGGTAGCACTGGTGCCTCTCACCCACGACTAGGCAGGCTGCTGCATTCTATCCAATTGCTCCTTCTGGGTAGTCTTCAATAGCAATAGCAATAGCAGTTAGACTTATATACCGCTTCATAGGGCTTTCAGCCCTCTCTAAGCGGTTTACAGAGTCAGCATATTGCCCCCAACAACAATCCGGGTCCTCATTTTACCCACCTCGGAAGGATGGAAGGCTGAGTCAACCCTGAGCCGGTGAGATTTGAACAGCCGAACTGCAGAACTGCAGTCAGCTGAAGTAGCCTGCAGTGCTGCATTTAACCACTGCGCCACCTCGGCTCCTTCAAGGGCAGCCCCATGTAGAGCACTGCAGTATAAAATTTGAGAGATGATGAAGGCATGGGTAACCACTGCCAGGTCATCCTGCTCCATGCATCCTGTTGCAGCACAGCAAAGTATCCCTTCCCATGGATTCCACACACCTATTAGTAGCTGTGAGTTGTGAAAGCGGCCACGTCCATTCAGGGGAGAACCATTGAAAACCAATCCTTTTCTGTTCCAGCTCTATACATGATATGCAAACACACCACCAATAGTCAGTAATGTGAAAAGCCATTCAAGAGGTCAAATATAGGTAAATGTAGGTAGCAGCCATGTACTATCCCTCTAAAACCGACCATCCATCAGAGCAACCATGTGGTCCAGACCATCTGTTGTCTTTAGAACAGTCTGGAGTTGAAACCTCATCATTGCCTCAATAATTTGCCCTAAGAAGAAGAGGCTGAAGTAGGCAGCCCATAGCAAGAGTTGCCACATGCAGGAAGAAGGCATATAATGCCCTCTTCAAAGGTAGAACCAAAGGTGGGATGCTACCGGTTCGCACAGTTCAGATGAACCGGTAATAAAAATTGCGATTTGGTCAGCAAACTGGTAGAGTTGGAAGGCTTTCCATGCCCCCGAACTGGCTCCCCGCTCGACGCGGCATATTTTTTAAACATTTTTTTATGTTCTGCACATGCACAGACCAATTTACAGGCAACTGTGCACGCGTGCAGAGCGTACTGGCAGTACCACTGGCATAAACCCACTCCCTTGGTGAGTTGACGTAAGATCTAACCTTCTGCCCCACCTCTAATACCTCTGGGACGGTACCTGAGGTAGAGCAAGAATCAATCCTACAAGTGGCAGAACTCAAACCACAAATCACCCTGTTCATTTTCTCAGAGTTCACAAACCTAAATGAATCCTGGGTTAAACTGTTAGATTCTACCCAAGTCATTGTTGATTCTCTCCACGTGGAGTGGGCAGAACTAACAGGAGTGGTCTTATGTGTGGAAATATTTGCCACATCTTATTACAACCTTCAGTAACAGCTTCCTGTTTTCTACACACCAAGAGGGCATGAGTCAAAAATAGCTGCAGGGACATCACCTACAGTGAGAATGAGAAGAAAGGCCACTGTCCCCTTTATCACTATGGTGGAAAGTCAACCATGCTCTTATTCATATATGACCACAATGCTAT